CCCGCCCCGCCCCGCCGCGCCGCGCCTATCGAGACTCCCGGCGTCTCCTCTCCACACAGACGGACGCCCCGCACACCGACACGCCTCAATTATTTGCGAGCTTACGCAGCAAAAGGCAATTTAGCGGTGTTGGTTTGGTGAGTTTGAGTTTGTCTCTCTCTCACGCTCGCGGTCGTGGTGGATCTGCATCAGCGAATCAGCAGCGGGGCGAAGTGGGAGAGAGGGGGGGGGGGAGAGATACAAGGACGCGGACTACGGGTCAGGGGGTCAGCGAGTCGCTTCCTTTTGCCGCGCCAGCAGGCGCCAGCGCCTCAGCCGCCTCGCCACCGCAAACAAAGCACGACCAAAACTTTTTGTTGTTGTTGTTTTTTTGCCGAGATTATACAGTTAGTTTGCTCTCTTCACCCCGTCCCCTGCTACGTACTATCTACTTGTTCCACACCCAAAAAAATAGTATGATCGAACAAGACAATTGAACTCGGGGTTTTTGTGCAGAAGAGATTTGTTGCCGCATTACGTAAATCTGGATGCACGATTAATGTAATGCGTCTGACTTTGGTCCTGTGCAAAGTGTGCAAGGTGAGCAGGATTTCCTTATTCGAAGAAACGACCCGCGCGGGCTTAAATACTTTCAGGGGAAGAGGAAGATGTGATGGACACATTACTTTTACTCTGGTATATGCAGTTTTCGATGGAAGGTCGAGGTTGGTATGTGAGGTGGTGAGGTTGGTGGTTCCGAAGAGTGGCGTGGAAAAGGGGGGGGGGCGAGGAGGAGATGGTAAGCGATGGAAGGTGAGAGGTGGGGAGCGGAGACATGGGGACAGGCGTCGCCCAGCGCGGCCCAGCAACGCCTCCGGGCCGGGCAGAGCCGGGGCGCCCAGCCGCTGAGCTCATCCATCCCCATCCAGACGAAACGACGACGCTCAATCACTCCACTTCACCCCACTTCCAGGTCCATTGAAACACGCGGGCGGCCGCGGAGGCGGTGACCGGGGAGGGCACGGCATAGGCGCGGCGCGGGGCGCGGGCAGGCGAGGGGAAGGGAGAGGGCCCGGACGGGGCCATCAATTCACGGAAAGTTTGATGACAAACTGATGCCTCCTCCTGGACAGGGCGAGCCTGGCCGCAGCAGGCCTTGCTCTGCCGCGCAGTGTCTCGGCTCAGCCTCGTGCACGAGATTGTTCTCGTCGAGGTTGCGAGCCGGTGAGTTACTATCGGCCGGCCTGGCTGCACTGCACTGCGGAGCGCCGTGGTGGTGGCCTCTGAGGCTGTGCAGTGCACTGCGGTGCTCGGGCCTTCGCTGCGCTTAGCGGCGCCCCCTGCCGCACCCCCACTGGCGCCAGCAGGACCGCGCGGCGCGGCCCGGGGCGGGGAGGGGAGGGGCGGCGGGCCGTGCTGGACAAGTTTTCGGAGCCCTGGCGCCACGCCGGCGTCTTCCAAGGGCTCCTCTACCTGACCAACCTGGCCGCGCCCCACCTCCCAGGCCCCTCTGGTCCCCCCGCTGGCCCTGCCCTTTAGATAACGAGAAGCCCCTGCCCCCGCCCCGACCCGCTCTTTCCCCTTCCATGCTTTTCCAGCTCCGTGAACACACGCTTCAAAGTATCTCTCCACGATGCACTCCAGGAAGGGCGGGGCCGCTTCAAAGCAGAGCTACACGGCATGTAACTACAGTATGCAATGCACATTTAATAAAAAGTGACCAGCAGCTTGGCGACTCGGCGCCGCCCCGTGCCGCGGGGGCCGCGCAGCCCCGCCGCTGTTGCTGCTCTTCAACTAATTAGCAGTCCTGCTTCGACCTTGTCCACCACCCCCGTCCTAATTGTACACGGCCTCGAGGGGCGGCGAGGCGCGGGAGGGTACCACCGTGACTGCTGTAGTACCGGGTGTATCGGAGCGGACGCCGCCGGCGCAGTGTTGCGGGTTCGCCTTACCGCCCGCCAGGCGTCGCATATGACGCCCCGCGGCTAAAGACGGTGAGCATCAATCCCCCGCAGCAGAGCCCGCGGCTCTGATAGACCCGCTGTGTATATCGAGGCGAGGGCGGCTGACTCCGCGTCTCGTATTACGGGGAGCGTGCCATTATATTAAACTTGGCGTATACAATAAGGCGCGGGGGAACTTGTCTCATCACGGCACGTGAGCGCCGCGGCGGCTGGCAACAGTTCACCCAGAGGCGCCTCGGGGAAGTCTCCGATCGCCCTCCTGGCGCCCTAAGCGGTGTCGGCACCGCGCCTGTTGGGAACTTCGCCGAGTATAATGCGACCGGGAATTTAATTTTAAAAATGTAGGAAGATGTGCCAGGTGGCTGATTAAACCCGCTCACTCCCGTGGTTATGCTGTACCGCATTCCTTCGTGCGGGCGGGTAGCCTACACGCTCGGCCCGACGGCCCGTAAGGCGCCGTGGAGTGACAAAGGAAATGAGCTCGCTTCGACTTACGACTTCGTAACGCTGTTTATACAACGATAACTCAATCCACCTGCTCAACGGTCACCACGGTCACACTTTCGGTTTATCACTTCTTTCCATCTTCTCACAATTTTTGTTTTCCAGTGTCGGTAGGGTTCAGCGATACGGCCCATATTGAGCGGATGTGGCTCAGCCGCGCCGCGCCGCAGCTCACGACCCGGGAGCAGGAGAACTATACCATACTACTAACTTTGAGTGCTGCCAGAGAGCTTTTGTCAGACTCGCGACCCGCACCCCTTCTCCTTTGCCTTGCCGCGGTGCGGCTGGTTCGGGAGTCGGGAGCGAGGGCGCAACTCAACCGCGGATGAACGTCGTATTTCAGCTCGGCTTTCTGTGCGCTACTACAGTACCACGCCGCTCTGACGATCCACCAGGCAGATTTCAGAAGAGTTGTAGGATGGGTTGGGGGGGCGGGGGGGACAAGCCAGCCACACTACTGTATTATGGGAGATGGATAGCATGCTGGTCGGGTCTCCGAAAAAAAACTCTGTAAAAAGTGCCGGGGAGGGGAAGGGGGTAATTGGGGTCTCGAGCTCGCGGAGCCTTACTTTTCTTATCGCATTCTTTGCCAGCAGTCAAATTTCTGTGATTCGCCGTATTTTGTCATTCTTGGTACAATATTTGGACGATCGGATGGCAGCATTTCTGCATTCTTCCTCAGACGATTACCATACCGAGCTGGAGGGAGAGAGAGGAGAGGTCGCCCCCGTCCCCCGGTATGCCCCGAGAGTGACCCGCCTTGTCCTTGCTGCTGCATTCTCCCCCCGGCGTATTTCTGGCCGGTAAGGGGACCGGGACCGGGAGTGCGCAGTAGTACACCGGGGGTAAGTCTGGGCGGCGGGGGCGGCGAGGGCGGCGAGGGCAGCGAGGGCGGCGAG